TTTCTAGCCTCCATGAGGCCAGCAGGCCTCCTCTGCCACTCATTGGCCATGATATACTGTGCTGTCCACAGGCCCAATGCAGCACAGCCAAACAATCATGGACTGAACCCTCTGAACCCATGAGCCAAAAATTAAACCTTTCCTCCTCTTAAGTTTATTTATCTTGGGTATTTATTACAGCAACAGAAAGCTGACTAGTGTAGACCCCATTTAGATATGTTTGCTCCATCAAAAACACTTGTGGGAAAACATTATTTTTACTCGAAAACTTTATACAGAAAATGTACTACATCCACAATATAACCTCATTGCAAGGTTAAAGAATATATCAAACGCAAGGTTTCAGTGTTACACATTTCCCTCTTCAGAAAGCATTTTCAAGACTGCTGTTCTGGAAAATGTAATCATTGTTTCCATAGATAGTTAATAGAATATGAACCATATAATTACTGAAGCTCCTTGCAGGTTACCTAAATTATTCTAGAATGGATTATTGGTTATATGGGTAACAGTAGATGGAAATGTGCTTACTGTTTGGGCAAAGCTTCTATTGATGCCAAAACAAGCTGTTTCTCCAAAGCTTCATGTAATCCCACTCGATCCCTCACCGTCTGGGAGAGATGTGGTTGGTATTTGGATTTTAACAATCTGGAGCAGCATGTTCCAGTCACCCAAGGGGGTCGAACTTTGAATAACTCCTCTGGAAAACAAACACCAGCAGGCTCGGCTGTTTACTTCAAGCTTCTTCAAGCCAAGTCGACAATAGATAAAGGCATCAATAAAGCTATAGCAGGGCAGCATTCCAGATGACAACAATTACAGCCATTTGCAAACACTCTTAGGTTTTCTCATCCTTACAGCACTGTGGCTGTGACTTATCAGTCATTTCAGGTCAAGAAAAAAAGTGCAGAAGACAAGGAACTCTTCTCGTGGAGAGCAGGTCATCAATTTATAGACTTCCCATCCATTTCTGCCCTTTTTCTTGGTTCCAAGCAATTTCCCATTTGTTACAATCTCCCCAGAGGATGAGTCAGTGGGGGGAGGGGGGCGGGGAAAGGGAGAACTCAAATCTGTCTAGTTGAATCTATTTATTTATTTATATAACCAGGATTGAACCCAGGGGTGCTTAACCACTGAGCCACATCCCCAGCCCTTTTTATATTTTATTTAGAGACAGGATTTCCCTGAGTTGCCTAGGGCCTCACTAAATTGCTAAGGCTTGCTTTGAAGTCACAATCCTCCTGCCTCAACCTCCTGCGCCACTGGGATTACAGGCATGCACCAACCATGACTAGCTAATTGCTTATTTTTAAAATACACTGTGAAGCTGGGGTTGTGGCTCAGTGGTAGAGCCCTTGCCTAGCATGTGTGAGGCACCGGGTTCGATCCCTCAGCACCACATAAAAATAAGATAAAGTATTGTGTCCACCTACAACTAAAATATATATATATATATACTATATATATATATATGATAAAACACACTGTACAGGCTAGAGGACTTAATATGTCTTCATTCCTACTTTCTCTTTGCCCTTTTAAAAAGCTTTTTTTACTGCCATCCCTTCTGCTTCCATTCCCATTTTTATTTCTCCTCTTTTATTTCATTTGTTTATTTTTTGGGGTCCTGAGGATCAAACCCTGTACCTCACATGTACTAGGCAAGTGCTCTACCACTGAGCCACAACCCCGGCCTTTATTTCTCCTCTTTTAGCATCAATCCCAGCTCTTCCATCCTGAAGCTCTTCCTTGACTCTCAGTGTATATATCTTTCTCCTCCTTGTTCTTGGTCTTAAAAACCTGAGAGGAACAGTGATGGAGGTGCTGATTCTTGACTTTATATATTTCATCTAAAGTCTTTTGGTTTTTATTACCCACTAACTTGAACTACACAATAAAGGAAAAAGAATTGGCCCTGAGCATACATGAGAGAAGACCCCGCAGGCTGTTCCAGAAAGACAGAGCTATCCTCCTCTGTAGGAATCAGTCTGTAAATCCATTTGTTTCTACAACACTTGAGTAAGACACAATGTTTTAAAATGCTTCTCACTCTTGTGTAGAGCAATTTTCTCCCAAATTATTTTCCTTAGGCACTTTTCTCTCTGTCTCTCCTGAAGCTCCTCGTCCTCTGCTTTGGGTTCATTCAGTGTCCCATAAATAGCAGCGGCCTCCCTGGGAGTTAGCCAATCTAGGTTGGACACACAAGCAATGTAATGGCGCTTCCAAGCCCCATATTCGTTGTCTGTTGGTGTATAGGGCAGAAACCATCCAAACTTAATACATTTGGGCATCCATAAGCAATCCTTCAAAAAAATCATAAAAATAAAAAAAGAGAACAATGAGTTATAAAATTTTTAAAAAATAGTTTTCTAGCAATAACATTTTCAGGTATCCAGACAATATTTTTTTGTTACATTTGAGATTTCTGGTATAATTGACTTGACATTTCAGCTTGACCCTGAGAAATATGAAGCATACCTTACTCCATAGGAAAAATTCTTTGATAGAAAAGAATATCTATATGACAGATGGATATATGTATTGGTCATATTTGTGACACTCTTCCAGTGTTCCCATTGTATTTGGTTACACTGACCTTAGAGTTATACAATTCGATTTCCTGCAATATTGTAGTGGTTTGTTCCAAACCAACCCTCCCACGAGAACACTTGTGATTGAACCATATGATATTGCAATATGCAACCATTTTTGACACATGCAAACAGCAAATTTCTTGGGATTCAATCTAATCACTCATCTAGACAAAACATCATTTTTCAAAAATAATTATTTGAAGGCATTATAGAGCTATCAATGGAACAAAGGACTTGCCACCAAGACCACAAGAGAGAGAAAACCAGACAGATATGCCTGATATTTGTCAGTACTTTTTACTTCAAGGCATTTTCTAGTTCTGAAGTAAATCTAAGTAGGCTAAGAAGCTGAGAAGAAAATTATGGCTGAAAGATTTAGAAGCTATAAAGAACTTTAGGGATTTTTATAAGAAAGAAAGGAGACAAGGGCTCAGTAAAGGGAATAGCACTGGTAACCACCCCAGGCCTTCAGGAGACAACCTTTCAGGAAAAATGATGCAAAATTAGACAACCTATCACAAGAACAAAAGCCAGCTTTGAAAGAGTCTGTTCTCTGATTGGATTTACATGATCCGTTCCCAGCCTAACCATATGCCAGAGGCAAAAGTAAATTCTCTTGGAGGAAAATAACATCATCTAGAGACTCAAATTATCACATCAATGTTTTATACTCAGTTATCTAGTGCCTAAACAAAAATAACCAGAACATGGAAAAAGACAAGGATTGTTTGTTTCTTCTTTAGTTTTCAGTAACCATAGAGAGATCCTCAGGAGAGCCAAACATTGTAATTATGAAACTTTGAAAAATTACACCCTGTAATTAATATATCTGAAGATATAAATGGCCAAGTGGAAATTTTTGGCAATAGAAGTACATTGACATTCTAGAACCGAAAAATATAATAATTGAAATTTAAAACTCAGTGAATGAGGTTTAAGAGAAAATCAGAATCCAGCTAAAGAAATAATTAGTAAACTGAAAGATGGGTCAGAAAAAAATCTGGATTTAAACATGGAAAGCTAAAAGCATAGAACATGCATATAACAAAATATGGAACTTATAAGGCATGGTGAATCAGTTTAACATCAGTATCAGAATCCCAAGAGCAAAAGAGACATACCGGGGCAGAAACAATATATGAAGAGACAACACACAGATGAAAAACACTAAATATGAGATTAAAAACTGCAAGGGCTGGGGATATAGTTCAGTTGGTAGAGTGCTTACCTCGCATGCACAAGGTACCACAAACAAAACAAACAAAAAACAACTCACTGCAAAATACTAATACAAAGCTGTATACATATAGGTACATCAACACACATATATACCCGGCTATATCAAAATATAATTGCTGAAAATAAAAGAGAAAGAAGTCTGATTGGCAGCTAGAGACAAGAGAAAAAAATACCTTTAAGGGAATAACGATAAAACCAGCTTCTCAAGAAAAAGTTGTGGAAGCCAGAAGACAATGGAACATTCTCAAAGTTCTATAAAAATTAACTGCCACCCTATGTGCATATATGATTACACAACCAGTGTGATACTACATCAAGCACAAGAATGAGAATTTATTTTTCATTTATGCATGATGTGTCAAAATGCATTCCACTTTCATGTATAGCTAATTAGAGAAATAAAAAATAAATTAACTGCCAAATTGGAATTCAAATTCCCAGTGGAAAATATCCTCAAATATAAAGATAAAATAAATACTTGGTAGACAAACAAAAATTCAGAAAATTTTATCATCAGCAACAGACCTACACTAAAAAGGAATATTAAAGAAATTCAGAAAAACATGATCCTAAAAGGAGCTCAGAGATGTCAGAAGTTAGCAACAGAAAAAATAAATAGATAGCTACATAGAAATAAATATTGATTTTATAAAACAATAGCAATAAAGTTTTGTGAGGTATATTGCATATTATATATAGTTATATATACATATATATATAGTTAGACACACACACATACACATACACACATAAAGTTTATATATACAGATGGCTCTCCATGGTATGGTTTGGATCTGGAAGTCTCCCAGAGTCTCATGGGTTGAAGGCTTGATCTCCAATCCAGCAATGTTTGGAGCTAGGGCTCTGGGGAAATAATTGGATCATGAAGCCTCTGACATCAAGAATGGATTGATCCACTAGATTGATTCATGATTTGATGGCATCATTGAAAGATAGTAAACTGTAGTGAGTGGGGCCTACTTGGAGGAAGAGGTCATTGGGGGTGGTGCCTTGAAAGAGTGTCTTTTGTCTCCTGCCCCTCTCCACCCAGTTTCCCAGCTGCCATGAGCGGATCAGCTTTCCTACACCATGCTCCTCTGACATGATGTTCTGCCTCAACGATGGTGCTGGCCATTGGACTGGAACCTCTGGAACCATAAGCCAAAACTAATGTGTCCTCCTTTTAAGTTTTTTCTCAGGTATTTTGTCCCTGCAGTGAAAAACTGACTAATACCATGGTATTAGATACTATACATAACCTAGAGATGATATAAAATAGGAGAATTATAGTGTGACTACTACACTACTATATCATCTTATGTAAGAGACTTGGGCAGCCATGGATTTGGGTATCTGTGTGGACAGAAGGATGTGCTAGAACCAATCCCCTGTGAACTCAAGGTCAATTGTACGTTTGTTACACACACACTCACACACACACACACACACACACACACACATTATACTTGACAACAAAAGCACAGAATTGAGAAAGGGATCAATGAAATTAAAAGGTTCTAAGTTTCTTGCATTGTCTTGAAGTGGTAAAATAACAAAGGATGCTTACTACAGTCTCTGTGGTAACTATGAAAGAACTTGTAACTTGCAGTCAAAAAATATTTAAAATATCAAGTTAATCCAAAGAAAGATGTGGAGAGGAAAAACACACAGAATAAACTAAAAAAAATAAATAGTAAGATGATGTATTTAAATCCAAATATTTCAGAATATATACAAATATAAACAAAATAAATACTTCAGTTTAAAAATAAGAGATTGCAGGCTGGGGATGGAGCTCAGCAGTAGAGTGCTTTTCTAACATATGTGAGGCCCCCAGTACTGCAATGAATCAATCAAAAATTGTCAAACCTACCCGCCGATAACTAAACAATAAATATTAAAAAATTCTCTCTCTCTACCTCTCTCTACCTCTCTCTCTCTTAAAAAAAAATTGTCGAACCTTAGAAAGAAAGAAATTGCTGCCACCATATTCTCTTCACAACATCTACCTTCAGTGTAAGGACCTACAAAAGTTCAATGTCAAAAGACAAAAACAATACATTGTGCAAACACTACCCTGAATTCTGAGGAGATTTTTTGAGGTTCTGTGAGCCCAGGACTCATAGTGGGCTGTGCCTGTGACCTCTCCATCAAGAGCCAGTTAGTCTCGCAGACCAGGTCTTGACACAAGCCCACCCTGGACATTTTGCATAATCTAAAGAGAGGAAATTATTGACTTGGATCTTAAGTATGTCTTCCATTACATTGCATTGAATCTTCTCACAAAAAAGGAAGAGACAAAAAGACCAGAGCCAGAATTTAGGGCAGAAGATGTTGATTTTAAGCAGCTGCTGTGAACTGCCTTTAACTGCTGTACGAGGATCTAGATTAATATTCTTCAACAGATATCAGCTGAAGAGGGATCTGCCAAAGATATGGTTGTGTGGCAATTTTCTAGAATTGAGTTACCATGGATAAAATAATATCAGATAAAAAAACAAAGCTTAAATGGTTTTTCATGGAGTATAATGAACTCCTCTAACAAGGTGTTTTCTATATATTGAATATTTCAAGATTATTTAAAATTATGTGATACTGGAATCATGTATATTGCCTTAGTTGCAAAACCAATTGCTGTGTTGGGTGCAGTGGCACATGTCTGTATCCCAGGGGCTCAGGAGGCTGAGACACAAGGATTGTGGGTTCGAAGTCAGCCTCAGCAAGGGGAAGGCACTAAGCCCCTCATTCAGATCCAGTCTCTAAATAAAATACAAAATAGGGCTGGGGATGTGGCTCAATGGTCGAGTGCCCCTGAGTTCAATACCTAGTACCAAAAACAAAACAAAAAACAAAACAAAACAACAACAACAACAAAAAAAAAACAAATGCTGGATTTCGCTTGTCCTTATTATTTTCATTCAGGGTGATTCGGTCGTGCTACAAGCACCCTCCGCTCTTATCTTCGGGGAAGACAGCTAGCAAATTGCCTCATCACAGATCACAGCTGCCTTTGAGTTCTGTTACTAGGAAGTGACACAAACTAAACCTGTTCAGTTAAAAACTTCCAGGGCCAGCTGACTTGGGCTGCTGCACACAGGTCTTTTGGGTTCAGAAAAGAGAAGATATATAGAGAAATGAAGCGTGGTAACACAGTCGAGAAGTCCACCCTGGCCACTTGCGTCCTTTCTGAAAACCAGTCTTGGACAAACCTAAAAAGAAAGATGCAGAAATTTAGTTCAGAACCTTGACATCTAAAATTGACTAAAAATCTATATAATCTTTCTCCCAGGTTCTGCCCCAGGAGCTGGGGTTGTGGCTCAGTGGCAGAACACTTGCCTCGCACATGTGAGGTACTAGGTTCAATCCTTAACACCACATAAAAATAAACAAACAAAATAAAGATATTGTGTCCATCTGTAATTTAAAAAAAAAAAAAAGATTAAGGTTTTTATCAGAGGATAGCTGCGTACTTCAGTGGTAGAGTGCTTGCCTAGCATGTTCAAGGCCCTAGGTTTGATTCCCACACCACAGTAAATAAACAAATAAATAGCATAAGGTTAGAATTTCCAAAATACTGTATCCACTTTCAATTATCCATTTTAAAGAGAAAGAGGGATGACAAAAATATCTAAAATTCACAGGAACAAAAAAGTCTGAAATAAACTCACTTGTTTAAACCAGAAACCTGATTTCCCTCCTTTCCCCTTAGCCCTAATTCAATGATCCAGAAAGTACTATTAGCTCTACATCCAAAATAAAGCCCCCAATCCAACTGCCTCTCCTCCATCATTACTGCTGTCACTCTGGTCCAAGGCACCTCTACCTCTCTCCTGCACTGTGGCAACAGCCTCTACATTGTTCTCCCAGCATCCACTCTGGTCTTCTTAGAGCCCATTCTCCTCCACACAGCAACCCAAGAGGTTCTTTAAAAAGGTAATGTCACTCATGCAAGTAAAACCCTAAAATGACTTCCCAACACAATTAGAGTCAAAACCTATAGCTGCTTCACACCTGCCACAACATGAGGAGCAAAGCAAGAATGTCCACTCTGCCTACTTCAGTTCCCATCTACTGGAGGTCCCAGCCCATTCAATAAGGCGAGCGAGAAACAGAAGTAGAACTGTTTCAATTCATATGCCACGTACACAGAATCTACAAAACAACTATGAGAGACAGATAAGGAAACTGCAAACTAAGTTGTTGACAACTTCTTATTTTTAGCATCTCCTTTTTCATTCCTGATATTGATTATTTGTGTTCTCTTTTCAAAACTACTCTTGCTAAAAGTTTATAAATTGTATTACTTTTCTAAAAAATTGCTTTTGTTTTCATTAATTTTCATTGTTATCTGTCCATTGTCTGTTTTATTGACTTTCACTGTTTTTCATTTCTTTCCTTCTGTTTATTTTGAGCATAATTTGCTATTTTTCTACTTTCTGCTGTCTGAAATTCAGGTGGGTAATTTTAAATCCCTTTATTCGTTTTTGATATAGTCATCCAAAATGATAAATTTCCCTCTAAGCTGTGCTTTATCTGCACCACACACCTTTAGATATGTTGAGTTTTCACCATCATTCAGTTTGAAATATTTTCTAATTTCCCTTGTGATTTCTTCTTTGACCACAGGTTATTTAGAAATGAGTGCAAATGCTACAATACTATCATGGTACTTAAAACATTCAACAATAATTCTTTCATGTGACGTCTTTTTCAGAATGATATATATCAGGTCTGTGCATTGCATTGCATTGTCTGCCACCTAAGCACAAATGAGTCCTAAATGGGTACAAAATCCAAAGCTCCATCAGTGGCCTTCTTGAGGGCTGTACATGTCTTGACAAAAGAGGCATTCCACACCCATAAAAGAAGCACAGCTGCACAGACCTATTGCCTCCACCTACATAAAACATATATATACAAATTCTTAATTCCTAATCGTCCATACTGGTGACCAACAGGTTCTACAGTCCCAAGACACCAGACAGGGGTCATATTTGAATAACAATTGCTAGAGCAAGAAGGCTTGGAAGCAACCCAGGCAGCAGTAAATCAGGGGCTTTTTCTGGAACCTTTATCTCCTCCAAATTCAGTGAAATTACAGACATCTCTGACTGGTCTCAAAGCTACTTAGAAACTTGCTAAAGAACCCACCAGAACTCTTTACCTCAGGACTTTGGGACTATGGAACCTTCTCCCACTGCGAAGTGACTATGCTGACCCGTGTTACTGGACACTAATGAACACAGATTAACTCATGGGAAGAGAACCTGGGACTGAACAAGCCTCATCTCTGACTTAAATTCCCATAGTGTGGCTTAAGCCTGAGTAAGCTTCATGTGAGAGGAAAACAGCATCTCTAATTAAGGAAAAATAAGACGTTAGTTACTGTTGTAAACAGGTGGCTAAATACCCTGCAGACCTAGAGATAGTCGAAACCACTACTTTACCCAGACAACTGGCTTAAAGTGTGTCCTCACCTACAAGTCTCAAACCCTGGAAACAGCAGAGCTCACTAATGAAATAGTCCACCATCCAAAGGTCCACAATCCAGCATAATGGTGAAATGTTGATCACCACTCATAGTACTTGATGCTCAGCAGTCTGAACTCTAGTGGTACCACTAGTCCCAACACACTGTCCTGAGACCAAATTTTACCCAAACAGACCAGTTGGTGAACTTCTAACTGTTGAGTCATGTTGGACCATAAAAAGTGGCCACATCTTAAAGAAAATGCCTCACTTTAAAAATAGTTGAAGAGTGCTCACTTTGGCAGCACATATACTAAAATTGGAACAATTTAGTATATGGAGAAGATTAGCATGGCCCCTACTCAAAGATGGCATGCAAATTCATGAAGTGTTCCATATTTTTTCAAAGTTATAATGTTTACTGGTAAATGGATGGAGCTGGAGACTATCATGCTAAATGAAATAAGCCAATTCCCCAGAATCAAAGTTCTGATATTCTCTCTGTTGCATGGATGCTAACACACAATAACAGGGCAGGGAGGGAAGAATAGAAGTTCACTGGATTAGACAAATGGGAATGAAGGGAAAGGAGGGAGGATGGGAACAGGAAAGACAGTAGACTTTCCTATGTTCATATATGAATACAGGATCGTGGTAACTCTACATCATGTACAACCACAAGAATGGGAAGTTATACTCCATGTATGTATAATTTAACAGAATACACTCTAGGGTCATATTTAACTCCAAAGAATATTTTTTTAATATTTATTTTTTAGTTGTAGTTGGACACAGTACCTTTATTTTATTTATTTATTTGTACGTGGTGCTGAGGATCGAACCCAAGGCCTCACACATGGGCGGTGAGAGCTCTAACCGCTGAGCCACAACCCCAGCCCCAAGAACGAATTTTTTAAAAACCTAAAAAAAAAAGTAGTTGAAGAATAGTTCTGCTTAAGCTCACTTGATTTATGCTCAAAAGAATTATAATAGTAGTTAGGCTGGGGTTGTAGCTCAGTGGTAGAGTGCTTGCCTAGCATGTGGAGGCGCTGGGTTCAATTCTCAGCTCCACAAATAAATAAATAAATAAATGTCCATTAACAACTAAAAAAAATTTTTTTTAAAGAATTATAATAGTAGAACTACTCAGAGCTGGGTTTTAGCTCAGTGGTAGAGTGCTCACCTAGCATGTGGGAGGCCCTGGGTTTGATCCTCAGTACCACATAAAAATAAGTTATCAAAATAAAAGTATTGTGTACAACTAAAAAATAAATATTTAAAAATATAACAAAACTACTCTAAGTGATTAGACTACCTGGCAAGATTTTTAAAAAAAATTTGTATAAAACCTATTGTTATCCACAAATCCTGTATAATTTATCAACTGTGCCAAACTTGGATGAAGACCTATATAAGCCTATCTCTTCCATGTGTCTTTAGTTATTATAAGTTGCATATAGCTATGGCCTCCATCTTCCAGGGCTGAGCTATTTCTATGTCCAGGTAGTGCAGAGAATTTGAGGAGGGAAAGTATCCTTCTCTCTCCTTTCTTGAATAGGACTCATGAAAAGGAAAAGTAAATTCTCTTTCTTTTGTCATGCTTAGTTTGACCTCAACGGATAGACAATTGGTATTGTTCCAATTGACATGAATCTGGACACTGACTTTGCTGTGGGTGCTTTTATGGTCACCCTCGTCTCTTCTCAGAAGTCGCTCATGATTGGAAAACGGTAGCTCCTGAGTTTCTGGGGACTCATAAGTTAGGGAAAGGTCATCTGGTCATCTTGGAGGGAAGGCTATAGGCCTTGCGTGATGGGCAAGGAGGCAGAAGTAGATGAGACTGAGGAGGGTACAAAAATTCCATTCCTATTTTAGATACAGATTAATCCCTGTTCCCCCCACCCCCACCCCAGGTGCTTTCCATAACTCTCTCAATGTTAGAGATTGGACCCCAACTGGACCCAGCTGTATGAGATATTATTGACACCCCACTTGAGAACAGAAACATAAACCTGCTATAATTGAGTGCCAGTTAATGCAAAGAAATACATTAAATGAAGGTTCTAGGGGTTGCATTGAGAGGGACAGACCCAAATGGTCCCTTTTCATAAGCTTAGCAGAGCGTTTTGCAGGAGATCTGAGTTCCAAGTTCCAACAACTACTGAGTTCCAAGATTCCTGTTTTAATAGGGCAGATATAAATGTGTGTGTGTGTGTGTGTGTGTGTGTGTGTGTGTGTGTGTGTGTGCGCGCACGCGCGCACGGGTGCAGTCTCTCTCTCTCCCCTTGACTCTATCAACCCTGGATCATGCAGCCCATCTCCACATTGCCTAAGCCGTGGGATGGTGCAAGTTGAAGAGATTGTGTGTTTCTGTTTCTCTGTTCTTAATGATTTTCCCAATAAACCCTATTCTATACATGCATCATGATGAACCATGTATTTCACTATAAACCCTTTATATAGCAGAGGATGATTCTTGATAAACATCAGGCACCAAATAAATATTTATTGAGTAAATGTGTGATAGAAAAAAATTGTTAAATCTTTCCCACCATCTGCTAAGAAAAAGCCAGTGTTGGAAAATTCGTGTACTAGATTTTTTTTTTTTTTGGTGCAAAATTATAGAATGGAGAGAATCCTACATGCTTAATCCTACATGATTAATTTACAATGGAAAGGAGAGATAGGCGTCTTAATGGACAGATACAGTTGAGGACTGGGAGTCTACCAGGTCCTTCTG